TAATCCCAACTACTTGGGAGGAGGAAACAGAAGGGTCAAGAGATCAAGGCCAGCCTAGGCAAAATTAGCCAGACCCTATCTCAAAATATAAGCCGGGTGCTGGTGGCTCACACCTGTGATTCTAGCCACTTGGGAGGCTGAGGTCAGGAGGATGGCAGTTGGAGGCCAGACTGGGCAAGTAGTTGGAGAGATCCCATCTCCAAAATAACCAGAGCAAAATGGACTGAAGGTGTGGCTCAAAGAGCAAAGCCCTGAGTTCAAGCCCCAGTCCCATACCCCTCGCGAAAAAAAAAAAGTCCAAACGAAAGGACTGGGGCATGGCTGAAGTGGTAGAGCACTTGCTTAGCAAGCGTGAGGCCCTAGGTTCAATCCTCAGTATTGAGGGGAAAAAAATACTTTCTAGAAATTTAGTTCAACCAATGCCAACATTCATTGATCCTCTTTCCAGAAGCTGTGGCTACTGTTGGCCACTCCCAGAGAGGGGACCAGCCACTCTCAGAGCACCAGTGGCTTCCATAGGAAGGAGGAAGAAGGGCCCTACATTTGTGCATGGGGAGAGAGGCCTCCTATTATATGGACATGCCGGCTGGGGTTGATGAAGGGAAGATCCCAGAATAAAACCATTGTGGCGAAAGAGCATGGTGAGAAAGCGAGGCTATCCCCAGAAGGGAGGGTCTTGTGGCCCTTGAAACTAATGAGCCATCTCCCAAGCCAAGGGCTAGCCCTGTCTTTCCCAACCCCTGTGCTTACCGGTAGATGAACACATACTTCTCCTTGTACGTGCTTCGTCCCAGCAGTGAGCTATTTAGGAAGCTATAGTGCCTAGCGCTGTCAAGTCTGCTGGGAAAAGAGGAGCTCAAGGTCAGGGCCCCTGAGGCTCTGAGTGGGCCCCAGATTAGACCCATAGAGTCTTCCTCACCGTTTGAGCTCTCTAAGCAGCAGGGAAATTGTAGTGTTGGAAGAGTCCACCACCTCCTGCAGCACCATGATGTCACAACGAGCCAGGATCTGTGCGACACCAAGGAGGCTAGCTCTACTTACAGCCAGCCACCAAATGGGGGTTACCTAAGGAACTGGCACTGATATGGCCAAGAGTGACAGGGCTCACTGGTTGCAACCCACAGAGAGCAGTGGGACTAGAAAGGAGCTGGGGGAAAACTGAGTGTCACCCCCATCCAGACCACACCCATTTCACACAGGAGGAGACAGACACCAATGAAAGAACTTTCTCTGCATCTGTGCATTCACAGAGTAGATGTCCCTTCTACTCTGGAATATGTCCCTGGTCAGGGAGGGTTGGGAGCTTTGTGTCATAATCCTTAGGCGCGTGGATTCCTGCAGCACCAAAACTTACCCGAACTAAGGCATCTATCACCTCCTCCCTGGCCACCTTGGCGAGTGTCAGCCGCTGGGCATTGAAGGCACAGATGCGAAAAGCCTCAGTTCCGCCAGTCAGGAAAATGAACAGGAGTACAGCTAGGCCACACATGGCTGCGTATGGCTGTAGGGTCCCTCCAGAAGAATCCAGGCTTCCCATGCACTCTCAACTGGGCTTGGTTAAGTGGCGTTTGCTCTGCTGCTGGCTGTGCAGTTTCTTGCCTCTCTCCCTGGAAACACCTGTCAATCTCTGAACATATGGCTTGACCTGACCACGTGATAAGATACATGTAGCATAAAACTTACCATCTTAACCATTTAAGTCCAATAGCATTAAGCACATTCACACTATTGTGCAACTGTCACCACCTTCCGTCTCCAGAACTTTTTCTTCTTCCCAAACTGAAATTCCGTGCCCATTAAACACAACTCCTTTCCCAGGAGGCTAAGGCAGAAAGACGTCTTGAGCCCAGGAATTCAGGTTCAGCTTCGGCAACATAGTAAAACCCTATCTCTTAAAAAACAAAAATAAGGCAGGGCATGGTGGTGCACACCTGTGATCCCAGCACTTGAGAGACAGAGGCAGGAAGATCATGAGTTTGAGGCCAGCATGGGCTACATAGGGAGTTCCAGGCCAGCCTCAGCTATACAGTGAAACTCTGTCTTTTTTTTCTCTCCCTCTCTCTTTTTTTTTTTTTTTTGGCGGTACTGGTGTTTGAATTCAGGGCCTCACACTTGCTAAGTAGGCATTCTACCACCTGAGCCACTCCACCAGCCCAAGACTCTGTTTTAACACACCACAAATAAGGACTGGAGGTGCGGCTCAAGTGGTAGAGCACCTGGCTAGCAAGTGTGAAGCCTTGAGTTCAAACCCCAGTACCACCAAAAAAAAGTGCTTTCTGGGGCTGGGGATATACCTCAAGTGGTAGAGTGCCTGCCTGCATAGCAAGTGCAAGGCCGAGTTCAAACCCCAAACAAGAAAATAATTTAGGGGGCTGATGGAGTGGCTCAAATGGTAAGAGTGCCTGCCTCGCAAGCGTGAGGCCTTGAGTTCAAACCCCAGTGATGCAAAAAGAAAGAAAGAAAAAAAATTTAATAAAGAAAAGAAACCCAAAAGAAGAACGAACCAAAAAAACAACTCCCCAGCCATACCCCCAGCCCTGGCACCCACTGTCCTACTGTCTGTCTATGCATTTGGCCACACTAGTGGACTTGTTGCCACTGTCTTATTTCGTTGGGCATCACATCCCATGGCTCATTCTTGTACAGCATGTATCAAAATTTCCTACTCTTTTTTTCTTTTGGTAGGACTGGGATTTGAACTCGCAGCTTTGTGCTAATAAACAGGCTCTCTACCACTTGAACCACATCTGCAGCCCATTTTGCTCTAGTTATTTTGGAGATGGGGGTCTCGTGAAATATTTGCCCAGACTGGCCTCCATTTGTGATCCTCCTGAGCTCAGCCTCCCAAGTAGCTATGATTACAGATGTAAGCCACTAGTACCCGGCAAAATTTCCTTTTGTTTTAAGGCTGGATAATATTCCATTGTATGCACAGACATTTAACTTATCAACTCATCCATCAATGATCAATGAACATTAATTAGGGCATCTACCATTTGGCCATTTGTTTATTTATTTTTTTTGCAGTACTCGGGTTTGAACTCAGGGCCTACACCTGAAGCCACTCCACCAGCCCTTTTTTTTGTGATGGTTTTTTTTCCAGTGACTTTTCTTTTCTTCTTTTTTTTTTTCTTTTTTGGCAGTACTGGGGTTTGAACTCAAGGCTTCATGCTTGCTAGGCAGGCGCTCTACCGCTTGAGCCACTCCACCAGCCCAGGTTTTTTTTCCAGGTAGGGTCTTATGAACTATTTTGCCCGGGCTGGCTTCAAATCATGATCCTCCTGATCATCTCCTGTCTCCTGAGAAGCTAGGATTATAGGCATGAGCCACAGGCACTCGGCTTAGCCGTTTTGAATAATGCTGGTATAGAAATATCTCAGTTTTCTGGTTTGGGTATGTATCTAGAAGTGGAATTGTTGAATCATATGGTAGCTATATTTTTAAATCTTTGAGGAACCACCATATCATTTTTTTTTCATTTTCGTTTTCTTATTTTTGTTGGTGGTACTGGGAGTTGAAGTCAGGTCTTGTGCTTGCTAGGCAGCTGCTTTACCGCTTGTGCCATGCTCCCAAGCCCTTTGTGGTTTAGGTATTTTTCATTTACTAATTTTTTTTGGAGGCACCGGGGCTTGAACTCAGGGCCTCACGCTAGGCAGGCGCTCTTACTGCGTATGCTACTCCATCAGCCCCTAGGTATTTTTCAAATAGGGCCTCAACCCTCATATTTATACTTTCTGAGTAGCTGGGATCACAGCTGTCTACCACTATGCCCAGCTATTGCTTGAGATGGGGTCCAACTAACTTTTTTGCTCAGGCTGGCTTCATACTGCAATCCTTGCCTCCCAAGTAGCTGGGATGACAGGCATGAGCCACTGTACCCAGTCCCACTATTTTTTATAGCTGTTGTACTATTTTACTTTCCTACTCACAGTGCACAAAGGTTTGACCACATTTTTTTTTTCATGGCACTGGGGTTTAACTTAGGGCCTCACACTTGCTAAGCAGGTGCTATACCACTTGAGCTCCTCCACCAGGCCTTTTTTGGTTGGATAGTTTTCAAGATAGGTTCTCATGAATTATTTTTTTGAACCTCAATATTCCTGATCTCTTGCCTCTGGAGTAGCTAGGATTATAGGTGTGAACCACTGTTGCCTGGTGACCTCATTCTTTTAAACTGCTCCATAGCATTTTCCTTCTAGATACCCTGACTATGGGAGATGCAGTTAGTCCCACGTTCTACCTGGGAGATGTTCTCATTAAGATAAAGTTCCAACAGTGAAAATCTTGGGTTCGAGGGCATATGCATTCAAAAATGATTCCAGACAGGGCCACATCATCCCCACTGCAGTGTGTGATGGATGGGGCCTCTTCCCATGACCTTGTCACTGCTGGCAAGCCTTTTTTGTTCATCTTGCCAGCTGGAGCCCCTTTCTTTCTGAGCATGTCTCTTGATTTATCTTCCTGTCCATGTCACTGACATTCCCAGACATGAGGCCTAGGCTTCTTCTGTCTGCCTGCTTTTCTCAGTCTCTCACTTTCTGCTTGTCTTGACTCTACCCGTGTGTCTTGTTTGCTCTCCACTGTTCTCCCGCTGTCCGTGTCTTTGTCAGTGTCTTCCTCCTGGCTGGCTTTGACGCCTGTTTTCTCACTGACCACCTGCTCTGTCACTCATGCTAATTTGGGTCTTCGGCCCTGGTGCCTATTCTGGGATACATACGGGTGTGTGTGCGGCACTGAACTGGCTCCAACAGGTTTGGAGGTCCTGAGGTCAAGGGCTCCCACCACATCTATGGGAAGGAACCAGAAAGAGCTACTGTTCCTGGCCTCAGCTCAAAGCCCGACTCGGGCTTCCAGCACCAGCCTTGGTCCCGGCCCTGAGGTCTCCTTCCCATTCTCACCCTCCTCCCTCTTTCCCTATGCCCCTATGCCCTCAGGGCTCGTACCTGTGCAGACCCGCTCGTCTCCACGCCTGCCTCAGCCTTAGACCGATCATGACACCCGACGGAATCGCAGCGCCTGCCTGAGTAGGGACCGGATGAGAGAAAAAGAGGAAGCTGTCTTCCCGATCCACCCAGCGGGCCGGCCTGACACCCAACCCTCACGGACCCGCAAGGCGGCCCGGGTTCCGCCCGGCGGCGGGCAGAGGGCGGGCCCTGGCCTGGGAACTGGCGACCTGCCCGCCCACCGTCAGTTCTGGCCCCTCCTTCTGGCTGAGCCGGGCTTGGGTCACCGAGCGTGGCCAGCCCGAGCCGCCGGGACGGAGCAGCCGCAGTTAACCTGGGCCAAGCGACCGGGGCGAGGAGAAGCTGGCGCCGAATGAAACCTCGAGCTACGCCCCTCAGCCCGGCCCCTGGCCGCCTCCGGCCTCCGCGGACGCGGAAGGGAGGGGAAGGCCTGGGGCTGGAACTCGCGCCGGCGGCCGGAGCCCCGCGGCGAGACTGGGCAGCCCTGAGGGCATCCCACGTCCTCAGGCCCTGGGTCCCGAGCCGCCGTGCACACCTGGGTTACGTGCGTCGATGTGAGTGCTCTGCAAACCCAAAGCAAGGCACAGTCTGCGCGGGATCGGCGGCCGGACCGCGTCAGCTCAGGTCCCCACTGGACGGTTGTAATGCGACCGCCGCAGGACAACGTCCCTTTTGGGCAGGTTGAGAAGTTTGTTTGTTTTGCGGTGCTGGGGATGGAACCCAGGACCTCACGCATAATAGGCAAAAGCTCTCCCAGTCCCCTGGAAAGAAACTTAAATTAATAAAATTACAGTTTAAAAATTAATACTCTGCTTAACAGGGACGGAACACTTTGGAGCGATGACCATGTTTTGGATCCAGACGTTGACAGCATTGTGAATGCACTAAATGCCATAAAATATCATCTTATACACACATAGATACACATGTATTACTGTTACACATTTCATGGTGTCACAGGCTACACCCTCTTACATATGCACATCGCATAGTACAATCGTGCAGTGTTGTAATTATGTAAGATTGTAGCTGCCTAAAGTTGCAAAATACAATATGTATACATACATATTGTAATACAATATGTATGCATTGTATGTGTCATAAACATTATATGTAATAACTATAAAATGGTTAATTCTATGTTGTGTATATTTTTCCCTCAAGAAAAATAAAGGGGGGGGATAACGTAAAAAAGGCTCCGCCAACCCACATTTTGAGTTGCCTCCGGTAGCGCTGCTGGTCGCCTACAGACACTGGACTGCAGGACCGAGAGGGTAAACGCAGTCCACACTCGGCTTCCAGCCCGGACCCCGGCAGGGCGGGGCGGGACCGGAGTGGACCCGCCTCCGCTGCCGTCAAGCAGCGGTTTAGGCACGTTTTGCGACAAGCGGCGTCGCCGGCTCGCTTTTCGGCGGGTGTGCGGGCCCTGCGGCTACCAGCGGCCGCTCTCTAGGTCTGTGCGGTTCCTGCTCGCAAGTGTAGCTTGTGTCCCCAGTGACGAGAAAGCTGGTCTGAGGTGGCTCCGGCCTGACCTGCGAGGGGACCTTGGTCCAGTAACTCTGTGGTGCCGAGCCGCGGCGCCCGTCAGTCCGTGGGCCTGTCAAAGACACCCCGTCCCTTCAGCGGTTGAGTACACAGACCCAGATCGGCCCCACACGCTGTCCAGCGGGGGTGGGGGGGCCGGGGCCAGGGGCGGGCGGAAGGAGATGCCCCTCCACGTGAAATGGCCATTCCCCACGGTGCCGCCGCTCACGTGGACCCTGGCCAGCAGCGTCGTCATGGGCCTGGTGGGCACCTACAGCTGCTTCTGGACCAGTGAGTTGGCCAGAGACCGAGGCAGGCTCTGTCACGGGTCCCCATGCCTGGCCAGAGTTGGGGTTGGGGTGTGGAAGCACTGGGAGGGCCTAGCCTGGAAGAGGCAAGCTTTGGGCTGGCGAAGACCAAGGACCCCCCCCCCACACCTTTTTCTCCTCAGAGTATATGAACCACCTTACCGTCCACAACAAGGAGGTGCTCTACGAGCTCATCGAAAACCGAGGCCCAGCCACCCCCCTCATCACCGTCTCCAATCACCAGTCCTGCATGGATGATCCTCATCTGTGGGGTAGCTGGGCACAGGGAGGCAGGGAAAGAAGCCACGTGGACCATATGAAAACAACAAATTCACTTCTCACTGGGCTCTTTGCATAGCCCGAGTACTCTTGTTTCTGGGATGTCCTGCCTCAGGGATGGAAGTTTGATTTGTGACCTCGTTGGGATCCCTTCAGGGAATAGGATTTGGGGAGGGTCTGAGAAATTTAGAAGGAATGTGAAAGTAGCTACACAGCAAGGTCTGTCAGCTTTTTAACTCTGATGTCACACCTGTAGCACTCTCTAAACTTTTTAAAATTTTGTTTGTTTTTGCAGTACTGGGGTTTGAACTCAGGGCCTACACCTTGAGCCACTCCACCAGCCCTTTTCTGTGATGGGTTTTTTTGAGATAGGGTCTCATGAACTATTTGCCCGGTCTGGATTCCAACCAAGATTGTCCTGCTTTGATCCTGAGTAGCTAGGATTATAGGTGTGAGCCACCAGCACCTGGCTCTGTCCTCTGAACTGTTGAAAGGGAGCTCTGGGCTAGTGCCTGTAATACCTGCAAACTGGTTCCAGGTTTGCCCCTGACTGAGTTTGTACCCTTCAGTTAGCCCCATTTGGGAGCCCAGTTGCCCCACCTAGAAATGTCTGTTTTGCTTGGCTCCAGTTACCAGATGGCTGGATGGAAGGGTACCTAAGGCTTGCACTGCTGAATGGAGGGGTTAGACTATCCTAGCATTCCTAGGGAGCCACCTGATCAAATTGGAGCCTTTAAAACTTACCCTGGCTGCCAAGTGAGAATGGTCTATAGGATGCCATAGGTGGATCCTGGAAAGAGGAAAGAGGCCTTGGAACTGTCCAGCAACCGGGACTAGGGTGGTCACAGTGACAGTAGAGGGAGAAGTTTAGAAGAATGGGCACTGTCAAAATGTATCAGGGAGGTAGAACAGACTTGGTGATAAGTAAGGTATGGAGGGTGGGGGAGAGGTGGGAGCCAGGGAGAACTTGAGGGTCTAACCAAAAGGTCTAGAAGATGCCACTTTGGCCTGTAGGGAAAAATAGTGCTGCTGCCACTGACCCACATTCCCTTAAATGGGGTAACAGAAAACAGTGCTCTTGTTTGAACCAAGTGACTTGAAGCACAAAACCTTTCCTCTCCTTCTCTAGGGATCCTGAAACTCCGCCACATCTGGAACCTGAAGTTGATGCGTTGGTGAGGAGGAATGGGCCCCTTGCAGTGGCCACCCATCTCTGTCCAGATTTGCCCTTCTCCGGCTCTGGCCAGGAGGTGGCATCCAGCAGCCCAGGCAGGGCATGTGGGGTCCCTCAGGTCCTTCTTCTGGGGCCCCATTCTGCATGCTGATTATTGAAGGCATTGTGCAGGGGGAGGGCAAGGAACAGAGACCCTGTAAGGCAGGGATGACTGGGTCTGTCCCTGTCCTAGGACCCCGGCGGCTGCAGACATCTGCTTCACCAAGGAGCTGCACTCTCACTTCTTCAGCTTGGGCAAGTGCGTGCCCGTGTGCCGAGGTGAGCGGCTTCTCTGGGAGGCACTTCTAGGGGCTGTCCAGGCCTCAGTTGGGATAGGAGGCTGGTGACCAGTGACTCTGTCTTGGAGGAACCCACGTGGGACAGGGAGCATGGGATCCAGGCAAGCCATTGCATGGCAGCAGAGGTAGCAGGGAACTGCTAGAGGAAGGATGGCTTCTTGGCAGCTTGATTATCTGCAGCTGCCCAAAGATTGTGTGTACCCAGAACTCTGGCATGAGAATTCAAGGAGGCATTACCCACGGCCCCTTCTCTCAGGGATGTGGATACAGATTCACTGATAGCAGTGAGTTGCCATCATTTTATGATGGCAGTGATGTATCCTGGAAGGCCAGAGGGTTTTGCTTCTGGGAGAACAAACAGGCTTGTGGGGGTCAGAGATCTGAGACTGACTACTCACTACCTCTCAAGAACCCCTGGAGGGTGGGTGCCAGTGGCTCACACCAAGTAGCTAGGAAGCTACTTGGGAGGCTGAGATCAGGAGGATCTTGGTTTGAGGCCAGCCGGGACAAATAGTTTGCAAGACCCCATCTCCAAAATAACCAAAGCAAAATGGAGTGGAGGTGTGACTCAAGCAGTAGAGTACTTGCTTTACAAGCACAAAGTCCTGGATTCAAACCCTAGTTCCACCAAAAAAAAAAACAAAACAAAAAAACAACCCTGGAGGCAGGAGCCTCTTTGATCCCCATCCTCCAGACAGGACTCAGAGGGAATGAATTGCTGGCCCAAGGTCATAAGGTGAGGTGGCAAACTCAAGATTCAAGTCCAGATTGCTTTTTCCTCTGGGAAAGCAGAATTTTTCCAAACAGAGAATGAAGGGATAGGTGTTCTAAACACCAGCAAACATGTGCCAGATGCTGGAAAGGTAGAAAATGTTAGTTGTAAGCAATTTTTTTTTTTGCAGTGTTAGGGACGAAACCTAGGGCCTCACACATGCTAGGCATGCATTATACCACTGAGCTACATTCCCAGTCCTGTGTTCATTCTTTTTGTTCTGCATCTAGCTTTATTGCAGTTAAAAACAGAAAGTGATGGATGGGGGTATACTCAGTGATATAGCACCTGCTTTGCTTGCATCACCAAGCAAAACAGAAAGTGAAATCTTAATCTCAAGTATAGCAAAGACCTAATTACATATGACTGAAGCAAAGGAAGTATTTGGAATATTTTTTGCTTCTGTGTTTTTAAAAAAAAATTCCATTTTTCCCTAAGCATAAGACTCTAAATATGATGTTTAAGTTCTGAAGTGATTTTACATAAGTTACACAAGTGAGTAGAAATAGCATTTGCAAAAGCTAAAAAGTGTGCAATATTGCTCCAAAGGCATATTGGTTTTATTTTTATATCCCAATTTCAAGCTCAACGGATAGGTTGCTCCAGTTGATCTTGGTAGAGAAGGAGCTGGTACCCATGATGACCACTTTGACCTATGATGTGTACTGCAAACCCAAGTAGGAAAACTCCTGCTCTTTCTCTACCCTGAGAAAACCTGTGGGTAATCACTCACCACCTGTAACCCCTGAGTGAACTGCTGGATTGCGTCATTTTTAGGTTGTTTTGAGCCTCCCGGATCCCTAATGAGCACCATCCAAAGAACAAGCCTTGCAGAGAACAAGTGTCCCCCTGCTCCCCACAGTGGGGTTTCAATTCAGGGTTTCACATCATGAGAAGCAGGTGCTCCACTACTAAGCCATGCTTCCAGCTCTTTTTTGTATGCGTGTGTGATGCTGGGGTTTGAACTCAGGGCCTACACCTTGAGCTAGTCCACCAGCCCTTTTTTGTGAAGGGTTTTTTTTAAGATAGGGTCTCCCAAACTGTTTGCCTGGGCTGGCTTTGAACTGCGATCCTCCTGATCTCTGTCTCCTGTGTAGTAGCTAGGATTATAGGTGTGAACCACCAGTGCCCAGCTTGCTATGGCTGTTTTTGAGGTAGGGTCTCACTTTTTGCCCAGGCCAGTCTGGACCTTGATTCTCCTATTTTATGTTTCCCACCATAGCTGGGATGACAGGTGCATGCCATCATGCCCAGCTTTTTCTGTTGAGGCACGGTCTCGTGAACTTTTTTTGCCTAGGCTGGGCCTAGAACCTTGATCCTCCTGATATCAGCCTCTCATGTAGCTGTAATGACAGGCATGTACCACGGCACCCAACTTTTGGTTGAGATGAGACTTATGAACTTTATTCGTGGGCTGGCCTCAAATTGTGTTCCTCCCAATTTCCACCTCCCCAGTAGCTAGGATTATAGGCCTGAGCCGCTGGCACCCAGTTGTAGAGAAAAAGTTAAAAGTCCATTTTTTAGTGCATTGGCCATAGATAGTCTCACTATCTGTCTGTCTCCTTCTGTGACAGAACTTCTTTACTCCCCACCTTACAAGGTGAGGATATTTGCCCCTCTGCCTCTTTCCTGGTTCTGTCCACCCTATGGTTACTTTTCCATAATTGAGATTGAGGGGATTCTTACTGTGTCCAGGAGATTCTATATTGTAAGCCAGCACACAGTGCTGGCCTTCACAACAGGGCTGTGGCTGCCTGCTGAGCCACCTGGGTCTAGATTTGCACTGCCTTCTCTTGGGTACAGTGTCATGGTCTCAGGACATCCCCAAGAAGGAAAGTTGCTATCATCAGAGGCAGCTCAGCTCCACTATTTTTAGCCTAGTGAGTTTGAGTTTTTCCCCAACCACTTGCTGATTCCATCTTTCCTAAGATGCCTCCCTAAGGGAGGGTCTAATTTTCAAGGAAGACCCAAGAGAAAGGGGTGAGCAGGAGGTAGAGATGGTGAAGTTCTGGGACCTCAGGCCATTGCCCTGTGAGGAGTGGCTGCAGAAACTGGCCAAGATCTCAAAGAAGAGTCGCCCAGAATCTGGGGCTCAAGCAAGGGCGGATATCACAAATAGACTTAGTTTGTTGCAGCAGTGCCTTCTGGGCAGGGTAGCACAGCCAAAGAGGAGAGGCTCCAGGAGCCAACCTAGAAGTCTGTGAGGGATTACAAGTGTGAGCTACTGAACAGCTCAGCAAGGGAGCAGGGCAGGGCGCATAGGGAAACAGAGGAATGGCCAAAGTCATAATTTCAGTAGGAGATGGTTTGAAAAGATGCTGCCTTGTATGTGAGACGCACTTAGAGATTGAACAAAGGAAGTCAAGGACCAGCATAACCAAATAGAACAGGTCCTGGAAATAGTCACTGGAGGGTGTCTGTGGATGGTGCAGTGATGAGTCAGACCCTGAGCTACTGCCTCTGTTCCAATGAGGGTGATCCCAGGGGTGGGGGGAGTCACCAATGCATGAGCCTCAGGGAGAAGGGCCTGTTTTGTTTGGAGAGTGTTGAAGGCAGGCTCTCCTCCCCTAGAAAATGGAGACAGAAGGGAACAAACCTTTCTCTGCAGGAGATGGTGTCTACCAGAAGGGGATGGACTTCATTTTAGAGAAGCTCAACCATGGAGACTGGGTACACATCTTCCCAGAAGGTCAGTAGGGCTGACTGGGTGGAGGACCCTGTGTGTATGGGAACAACTCCCAAGCCTGGCCTCTGTATTCTCTCACTAGGGAAAGTGAACATGAGTTCTGAATTCCTACGCTTCAAGTGGGGTAAGTGCTCCTGGCCCCTCCCCTCTGACTGTATGTGTTGTGAGCAGTGAGAAGGGGATAGGTAAGGATTAGTCGAGTGAGCTAGCTTTAATTAGGAGACAGCAGGGTTGGTACTGGCCAGAGGCTGGCAGAGAAGCTTGATTTAGTTCATACCAATGCTTCTGTCTCTCCCCGGACAGGAATCGGGCGCCTGATTGCTGAATGTCATCTGAACCCCATCATTCTGCCACTGTGGCATGTTGGTGAGCCTTGAGCTGGGGGCAGGAAGAGGGGCTTCCCTAGATGTTGTACGAGGGGGGTTGCTGGGTGGCAGAGAGAGGGCATATGGGGTGGAGGGCTTGGGGCTCCCTGTGGTCCCAGGCTGCCCTGCTCCCCTCGATGGCTGGCCTTCTGTCCACTGTGCTACAGGAATGAATGACGTCCTTCCTAACCGCCCACCCTACTTCCCCCGCTTTGGACAGGTGGGTAGTCTGTCTGTCTGTCTGTCTGCCTGCCTGCCTGCCTGCCTGCCTGCCATCTTCCCTGTGTCTCCCATTCTACACTACAGAGGACAGAGGCAGGAGTAGCTGAGCTTGAGCCTGCAGTAGGGGGACTGAGTGGAACACAGAAAAGGACTTCCTGGCACAAGGATCTTTAGAATAAGAACAGGAAATCAGGCAGAGGCAGGGACAGGCTCTGTGGTTGTGATCCGACAGGTCAGCCATAGGATGGGTCCCAGGACTGGGATGGATCTCTTGGATGCCAGCAAGTCCAACTGCTTTTTTAAAGAGGGAGAAGTGGCCTGAGGGGGCATGTAGCACATTGGGGTAGGACTTGGCTCTGGCTCCCCAGGTTGCTTGGGCTGGGACTGTGGGCACTCCCCTGCTCCTTGTCACCCTCAGCGGCTGGCCTTCCTACAGAAAATCACTGTGCTAATTGGGAAACCCTTCAGTGCACTGCCTGTGCTTGAGCGGCTCCGGGCAGAGAACAAGTCAGCTGTGAGTTTCCTCCCTGACTCCCCAAAGCTGTCCTCAGTCCTCCCAGTCCCCTCTGACTCCCAGGGCACCTTGGCCAAGGTCCATGAGGGGTGCAGGCCAGCCCCCTCCTTGTCTGCAGGTGGAGATGCGCAAAGCTCTGACAGACTTCATTCAGGAGGAATTCCAGCACTTGAAGACCCAGGCGGAGCAGCTCCATAATCACCTCGAGCCTGGGAGATAGGTCTGCCCCACCCAGCTCCTGGCCCTGGCTTCCTTAGCCCCAAGGACCAGCTGGGTCCCCTAAGGCTTGGAGAAGAGGCAGTGCTGAGACCTCAGGCCGACCGCAGTTGGATCTCAGTGCTGCCTTTGGATTCTTGTCTTGTACAAAGCTGGGGCTGGAGGATGGACTGATGCTTTTAGCTCAGATACGGTTTTTGCTCATAACCCTACTGGATGCTCTTTTCTAGTTGGTGAGCATCAGCTCCTCTGTGGTTCTTCAGTTAAAAGAAGGGCCTCAACTATTCTTCTCACTTGTCTGAGAAGGCAGGAAGCAGCTTAGAAAGACCTCCTTCCTTCCTGCCTTCTAACTTTCTCTCCCAGAGCTGGCACTGGAAGGGAGCAAAGTAGGCAGGTGAGCAACTAGTTGAGTGGGGAGACATGTGGCCTGGCCAGAGCTGTGGCTGGAAGGCCATAAGGCCTGTTGGCCTGGCTCCTACCTGCCCACCCTTGCCAATCTAAGAGCTGTTCACTACCTCCTCAGGGATGGCTGTCAGCCATGTCTTCCTTCTGCCTGAGCTTCCCCCATTGCAGGACCTGCCCTTAAGCAGGGCCTATCCTTGGGTGGTTTACAAGCAGGAAGAGTAGTCCTTGACCAGCAGTCAAGCCAAGCTGAACAGACCCTGCATCAAGGGCCTGATGCATCCCCATGCCAGGGCCTACCCACTTCTCCATCTTTTCTGCCTTGACATCCCTCATGTCATGGGGTCTGGGTTTTCATGTTTTTAAACAATAAACCATCTGTATTGTACCATTGTACCTCTGGCTTCTCTGTAGAGATGGGGATGGAGGTGACCCACTGGACAAGAAAGCAAGACTGTTAGAGCCCTGGACACATTGAGATCACTTAAGCAGATAGATATTGAGTGCTCATTGTGCACTAGTGACTTAAGTTTTCAGTTACTGTCTAATAAATGAAAACCTAGCAAAAGGGGAGATTAATTTTGCAAATGAGGCAGTGTGAGGCTAATAGACTTGCTTCAAAACCTAAAGCTAAGCCAGGTGCCGGTGGAGTGCTACCAACTGTGAGCATCGAGTGCTGTAATCAGGAGGTAGGAAGGGGGACACCTAGATTGAGCTGAGGATCTAAGTGGGATCAGGTAGATCCAAGGTGGTAGTACTTCTGAGCTTCTTGAAGCAAAAGCAAATTCTCTGTAGCGAAAAGTATGCTCCTACTCTCTGTCCATAGACTAAAATTTTAAAAAGACCTCACAAAAGGGGACCAGGAACTAGAGAAAAGGTGAGATCAAAAAGAAATAACCTAGAAGGTAACACCCACGCACAGGAAATCAATGTGAGTCAATGCCCTGTATAGCTATCCTTA